ACCATCCCTCCTCCCCTTCCCTGCCACCTGTGGGGGGCACCGGCTCCTTGTCCCGGGTTTGTGGGGTTACTGCTCCGTGGGGGGCACCGGCTCCTTGTCCCGGGTTTGTGGGGTTACTGCTCCGTGGGGGGCACCGGCTCCTCCTGGGTTTGTGGGGTTGCTGCTCCGTGGGGGGCACCGGCTCCTCCTGGGTTTGTGGGGTTGCTGCTCCGTGGGGGGCACCGGCTCCTTGTCCGGAGTTTGTGGGGTTGCTGCTCCGTGTGGGGGGCACCGGCTCCTTGTCCTGGGTTTGTGGGGTTGCTGCTCCGTGGGGGGCACCGGCTCCTTGTCCTGGGTTTGTGGGGTTGCTGCTCCGTGGGGGGCACCGGCTCCTTGTCCCGGGTTTGTGGGGTTGCTGCTCCGTGTGGGGGGCACCGGCTCCTTGTCCGGGGTTTGTGGGGTTGCTGCCCCGTCGTTTCCCTTCACTGTCGCCCTGTCCCCGTGTTTCCTGCGGACGGGCCGTTAGAGCTGGTGTGGGATTCGTTCAGGTTTGCTTGTTGTTGCAAGAACGCTCTGCAGTGGGTGCTGTGCGTCCTGCTCCGTCCACGGCAGGTGATGTCCCGAGTCCCCAGCCGTGACGCCACGTGGGTGTGGGTGTCGTCACTGGCCCCGCCTTCAGAGGCGTCCACGTGTCACCTGCTGATTCAGCCCCGCTGACCACCGGGTTCCGTCCAGGCTTGGTCCGGTGCCTGGTGCGGTTTCTAACTGTTCCCTTTCCTCTGCATTTAGTAGCTGTGGCTCTTCTACGACGATTTCATGACTGAAGTCAGGACGACGGGGTTAAGGACCGACTCCCCGTTGTCAGTTTCGGGGTCATGAGCTGCTCCAGCCGCCGCCGTGGTGGTGGGTGCAGGGCATTCGGTCATTCTGAGCTCAGGGCTGTTCACGGGCACGACCTCGTTCAGTGAGTGACGGTCATTCCTCCTCCTGGTGCTCACACTGACCCTCAGTTCCCGGTTCGTCTCCGGGACCTGTTTGCCCCCTGACGAGGTGGCCGGGCTCGGCCTGAGCGCCCCCCAAAGGGGAGGCTGCAGTGACAGCCGCTGGGTCCTTAGGGGTTACGAGGAGCGGACTGTCCTTGTTTCAGGCGTTTTCACTGAGCGGCCAGGAGGCACATACTTGTAAGGAAGAGATAAATCCTAAGTTTGTAGCCAGGATTCCAACTGAAACGTCAGTGATTTGTTTCTCTAACTCGGCCCCTCGGACTGTGCCCGCACCGCCCTTACACTGGATGCCTTGGATCCGGGCCTCAGGAACAGAAGTGCCTTTGCTTCCTCCTCATGATGCAGGTGGGGCAGTGGTTGTTCACATGGAAAACAGCACAGTAATTGGTCCCAGTAACACAGGGAGAAGCTGTCGTTTGCCTACTCGCAACTGTAAACCTACTTTTGCCCCACCCTGTATATGTGACAGTTTGAAAATGACAGTGTCCGTGTCAGTGCCCGCCTCGTCCTCAGTGCGTGTCCTGCGGGAGGTGCGGCCACACCGTGCGGAATAGGTGCTAAGGTCTCCGTCTGTCCTTCCATTGTTCTTTCGGATGTTAAATAATAATACATTTAACATTATGTACTTGCTAGGTAACTGTGTGTATTATACTGTGCTGGGAGCGTTGTTTACGCTGCTTTCCTGGGAAGGATCTGTCCTGCGATCACGCTTATCGGGGCACGGGTCTCATGCCTTTAAACAGCTGCGCGTCGCCCCTGGTGTGGTGACATCTGCCCACCAGCCCGCCCTGGGCCAGCCTTTCCGCTGTGACAGTTTAACACGGCTGAAGACGTTTAGTACTGACTGTGGTTCTGTGGTGCGGAACCCCAGTCATCAAGAATGAAAGATGGTTTTCATGAAGAGAATGTACTCATCTAAGACCCTGATTCCCTTTTAAACTTTAGCCTTTTTTTATGGAAACCTTTTAAATCTATTACAGACTTTTACACAGTTTAACCCGTATTTGTCTTAAAGGAATGTCTTTGTTATTGTGCTGAATTCACACTTTCTGTGGTTTTCCGTGTTTCTTTGTCTTCCCTGAATGTTCGTTCGCACTCATCAGTCTTACGTGCCCAGGTCAGCCTGCTTGTGGGAAGGTCTTGTCCGCTTTTTCAGGGCCTGGCTGACCCGTGGGAGCCTCCGCTTGATAGCAGTCCTGGTGCTCACATGGATGGTGCTTTGTTCTGTGTTCACTAAACTAAAATATTTTTAAATTGAGAAAATATTGCATCTGTGTCTTTTTTTAAAAAATATATTTTATTGATTTTTTACAGAGAGGAAGGGAGAGGGATAGAGAGTTAGAAACATCGATGAGAGAGAAACATCGATCAGCTGCCTCCTGCACACCTCCCACTGGGGATGTGCCCTTGACCAGAATCGAACCTGGGACCTTTCAGTCCGCAGGCCGACGCTCTATCCACTGAGCCAAACCGGTTTCGGCATCTGTGTCTTTTTTAAAAAATATGTTTTTATTGATTTTAGAAAGAGGAGGGGAGCGGGAGATGGAAACATCAATGAGAGAAATATCAACGGGCTGCCTTCTGTGCGCCCCCTACTGGTGATCAAAGCCTGCAACCGGGCACGTGCCCTGACCGGGAATGTGACCTCCTGGTGCATGGGACGACGCTCAGCTCTCTATCTTTAACTTTTTGTTATTTAAATCTTTATAATACACTAGAGGCCCTATGCGTGAAATTCATGCAAGGGGCTCTGCCCTCGCAGCCCCGGCTTCGTCTGGAAGGTCGTTCTGCCATCTGGTCCAATTAGCATATTAGCTCTTTTACTAATATAATGCCTAGTTATGACTTTCCTTAATATTTTCTCTTGAATCAGATGTCCTGCCTTACTCCGTACGGGTCCTGTTGGAGGCTGCGGTGAGGAACTGTGATGGCTTTTTGCTGAAAAGGGAAGACGTCCTGAACATCCTGGACTGGAGAGCCAAGCAGAGCAATGTGGAAGTGCCCTTCTTCCCCGCCCGCGTGCTCCTCCAGGACTTCACGTGAGCGACAGCCTTCCTCACGAGCGCGTTTTCAGGGTTTCCTTTATAAGAGTCCCTGACTTTAATTTTGAATATTAGTTTGTAAATTTTTAAAGATTGCCCTTTCTAGCCCTAGCTGGTTTGGCTCAGTGGACAGAGCGTTATTTTTTTAAAAATTGCCCTTTCTAAACTGAAGCAACTCTTTAAAAATTAGGCGCTTGTTTCCTGTATTATTTATTTCAAAACTACTTTTGTTCAGCTGCGTACTTGTCGTCTCCACCAGCTCAGGCTTTTCAGACTTCAGGTCACACGTGATGGCCTGCCCCTCCCTTCCTTCCAGGCCTTGCCCATCGTAGTGACTGCAGGGTGGTCTCCCGTCTGTCCAGGCAGAATCGAGGCTTGCCCCTGCTTCCTGCTTCCTCCGTATGTGATCCAGTCCGTGTAGACCCACGGCCTCTTGAATGGCCTGCCTGCCCTGGTGTCAGGGATCCGTCGCTAGAAGAGGTGCCCTTTCGATGGTGTCAGGAGTGAGCAGGCAGAGAGCACGCCCTCAGCCCCACGGGGACGGGGTCTCCTGCGCTGCTCTGGGCTCTCGTTGCTGCTGTCACGGCAGCCACTGCTTTATCTTCCCTGCAAAGTCCTGGAGAGCAGCACCCGTCCTGTAGGGCCTCGCACCCCGAAGGCCTTTGGTAGATGCTGTTGCCTGGCGGCTCGGGATGGGCCTGTGTCTGTCGTGGGTAACTGAGGACCAGCAGGCGGGCACCGGGCTGGGAGGGCCTGGGCCAGGGAGCAGGCGGGGGTCGCACGGCATCGAAGGCCGTCCCCGAAGTCCTCTTCTGTCGGAAGCTCACCTCGTGTGTGACTTTGGGCACATCTACCTCTGAGCGCCGAAGGTCTCAGATAATTCCTGTGTGAACTCATTAGCCCAGGGTGCTTCCAGCTTTGGGTTACAAGTCCCTTGTCAAGCACGAATGCAGATGGAAAAGGGGTACTTCTTATTTTTTTATTATTTTTTTATCTTTTTAAAATACTTTTTATTGATTTTGTTGAGGAAGAGAAAGGGAGAGAGAGAGAGAAAAAAACATCAATGAGGAGAGAGAATCATTGATTGGCTTTCTGCACGCCCCACACTGGGGATCAAGTTCGCAACCTGGGCATATGCCCTTGACCGGGATCGAACCCGGGACCCTTCAGTCCACAGGCCGACGCTCTCTCCACTGAGCCAAAGTGGCCAGGGCAGGGGTACTTGTTAAATACAGAAATGAGTGAGTGCGTCCTCCTGGCGCTAGAGCTCACGTGCTCCTTCTGCTTTCAGGGGGATCCCGGCCATGGTGGACCTCGCCGCGATGCGGGAGGCGGTGAAGACGCTGGGAGGGGACCCTAAGAAAGTCCACCCCGCCTGCCCCACAGACCTCACGGTCGACCACTCTCTACAGATCGACTTCAGCAAATGGTACCGTGATGCAGAGGCCGCGACGGCAGCGTGCAGGCGGGCGTCACCCGCTGGCGTGTGGCGTAGCGGGAAGAGGGGGGAATTCATGCCCGTTTCCTACACGTAGTGATGACTGACACGTAACGAGAGAAGCTGGTGACAAGTTTAGTTGTGATTGTTTTTGCTGGGTCTGAATTATTATCCTGTTTGTATGTTTCTGCTGCCACTTTTGGTGGAAATGTGCAGCGAGCCTAGAGCCTGATTTTCTGGCTACGACTGCAGCTTCATATCCACTAAAGGAAGTTTTTTCTTTTCTTTTTTTTATTTTTTTTAAAATATATTTTATTGATTTTTTACAGAGAGGAAGGGAGAGGAATAGAGAGCCAGAAACATTGATGAGAGAGAAACATCGATCAGCTGCCTCCTGCACACCCCCTACTGGGGATGTGCCCGCAACCCAGGTACATGCCCTTGACCGGAATCGAACCTGGGACCCTTCAGTCCTCAGGCCGGCGCTCTATCCACTGAGCCACACCGGTTTCGGCAAAAGGAAGTTTTTTCATTTCCTTCCAGAGGGAATAGGGAGACGTGAGCCATGACTGTCGTTCATTAGTTGGTGATTGAAAGCACTGAGCTCACTCCCTAAAGCTCTGGTTTCCTCCACTGGAAACGCTACATTCAGAAGGGCCCTTGACCATAGTCAGACGAGAGAAGACGTGGTGCTCACGCTCTCGGGCGTCCTGGGTCAGACAGACTCCTCAGCCGCGAGCTGCCCTCTGCTGGAGCGGTGGCTCGGCGGCGGCTCCGTCGGGGGTGACGGCACCTCCGTCTTGCCCAGTCGCTCCCCTGTGACAGGAGCGTGTGGACACGGCTCTACTGGGCACTTAGGTTACGTTTCCTCCGTTCGTCGCAGTTACCCGGTTCTCGCGTGCGTGCTTTTGTGACCTGACATTTGCGTGGCTGGTGTGTGTTTTGAAGAGCTAAGTGTCTGTCCCTTCTAACTGGCTTCTGTTCCCTTGTTTGGAATGACAGTGCGATACAGAACGCGCCCAACCCTGGAGGCGGGGACCTGCCGAAAGCCGCCAAGCTCTCGCCACTCAAAGCGCCGCCCAGGAGGCTGCCCTGCCGAGGCCCAGCCGCCTGCCGGGGGCCCTGCGATCCGGGGGAGCCGAGCCTGGGCCGCGGCGCCGGGAGGCCGTCCACGCAGATCGAGAACACCCCCCTGCTGTGCCCTTTCCACCTGCAGCCAGTGCCTGAGTACGTCTTCTTACTTCTCATCACTGCTGCTTGTTTCTCAGGGAACCCGTTTGCCCCTTTCTCCCCCCTCCCCCCCCCCCCACACACACACCTACACACACACACACCCCTGCTCCCCGGCCTCGTACTGCCTGTGGGAGATGCTGCCGTGTGCGTCCTGTGTCCAGCAGACCAAAGCCGTTAGGTCTGCCTCTGTTCCTCGGGAAGGGACCCTGAGGTTTCCCTGTAAATATGTTTAATTTCCTGACTCGTGCAGGCAGAGAAGTTCGCTGCGTCTTAAACAGAGAGCTTTTCTTCTGGTGAACGTGTGCCATTCACACGCTCATCATTCACTCATCTTCCTTCTGTGAATTCCCCATTTATAGTTCTCGCTTTTTTTCCTACTTGGAGAGTTTTATTTTTCCTTACTCCATAATACTGTTGTCGTTATGTGTGTTATAACCTGACTGAGCCGTTCCAGAGAAGTGGTGGTCTGAATGATAGCAGGGAAAAGACTCCTATTCATAGGACTCGGTTCCGTTTCCTAGTAGGTAGTTTATCTACATTAAATTTTCTTTCTTTTAATTTCGGCCGTATTGAGTCCATGAACGTTATAGGGACCTCGTGTTCCTCCTTCCTGAGAGCTCAGTATGTTCTGTGGGTCCTTTGCCCTCAATTATGGCATCGTATGTCCTCGCCCCTCGTTCCTGCTGCCTAGTGTGCTGACTGTTCAACATCTCCTCACACACAAATTCTTGAAAAGGAGGATTTATTGATTCAAACGTCACTGATTTTTTTGGGTTGTCTTTCTATAACTGGCAGAGCATGAAGTGCTAAGATGGTATATTTTTATTTCTAAAAATCCAATGTGGTGTAACATTTCCCTTCAGTTTGGAGTCTGAATTATAAAGTAGTAAGATGGGTTATATGCAGTCCCGGGCTGTGTAAAAAGGAGAATGTGTGTGTGCTGTGACGTGTCAGTGATGTGTTAACTGCAGGCTCAGGCGAGAGCCGGGGGCAGGAGTGGAAGTCCCTGCCTGACTGATAGAGGGTGGACGGCACTTGATGGCCACAGGTGCTGGGTCGTGGAGGCTCCCGAAGCTGCTCCCCGGCCTGGGAAGTCTCCCGAGACCACTCGGCAGTGAATTATTCACGTGGCCTTTGTCTTGAAAACCCTCCAGCTGAACAGCTGTAATTATCTGGGCCCTGGAGGGCATGTATCATTTACGTTGTATTGATGTTCAGTCAAACCTTAATCACCAGCTGGGCTGGCAGGAAAATGAGCAGGTCAGACCGGCTGTAACGATTTTTAAAAATCGATCAGATGCAGTGAGGTCCCTGAAGGTGGGCTCCGTCCT